TGGTCCGTTTTAAGAAAATCGAATGCCGACTGGTGGATAAAATATTTTAAGGTAATTAAGATATGCGTACAACGTTAGCTTACCGGTGTATAATAATTTAACAATAATATAATTATATTTATAATGCGCGAATTTCAGGGCGAATTTCATTCAATTATTTTAAGAAAAGTTATAATTAAAATTAAAAGTTAACTTACAATAATGAAAACAACGGTAACAAAAATGCATGACGAGGTAAAGGTGAATTTAAAATACTGACTGTGTGCTTCTTATTTCAAATGGTAGCGCATTCCCCAAAAAGAAAATGCACCTACTGTAGCTCTGGATTAAAAACGCGGGCATGCAATTTATTACATGAATTTTTAGCGGCACGTTTATTAAGTTATTTTGAAGAATCGTTTTTAGTGACACTTTTATGTAGCGAGTTTTCGTAAATTAAGTGTCGCAAAGATTTCATGTAATAAGGCAAGTAAAACTTTATCACTGAAATATCCTATCTTGGACCCTTAGATTACATTTGGATCGGGGCGTAAGAGAAATAAGAGACGATTAGTAAGAAGGGGTAGCCAGTGCAACTCATGATCATATTAAAGAGGCGTTACATGGCAAACATTTTTTGTTTTTGTAGTCACGTTTTTAAAGATCATAAGACATTGGTCTATGCTCATCTGTTTCTAATAACCATAATCCTTTAAATCTGAGTTTTATAAAACAGATCAAATGGGATGAAATTAAAGCACTTTCAGACTTTTCAGCAGAGCTTGTGAAAAACAATCATTTATTAAACCTGAATCTGAGCGTTTATATTAAAACTTTTTATTTAATTTCATTGTAATGTTTTGTTTTGCGGCAGGATCTAAGAGACACTGGAGTTTATGATGACAGTGATCCCCTACAAATGTAAAAGTGTTTTCTTTATTTAACATATATATATATATATATTTACCAGACTAGAAAAAGAGGAACAGGCAATGCTGGGAATAAGGCAGATAGCCTTCTTCATATACTAATTCTCAGCCTTATTCAGCTGGTGTTGCTGGTTGGTTTAATTTAGGGTACGCCTGATTTAGCTTACTTGCTCCTTGATTAAACAAAATGGAAAAAAAATCTTCTCTTGTAGGTGATTCCTTTTGTTCGGTTCTGACCGGGCTATACAAATTATGATTTTCATGATGATGATGGTCATTATATCAGTAACAGCTATTTTAATTATGATTGTTATTGCTGTTTAAATATTTTACCATAATTATCCAAATAGCTGTACGTTTTTCTTGACATAATCATCCATAATTTTGTATTGTTATAACAACCAAGAGTCGTCGACTAATAAGTTTTTATTTCTTAAAAGGCAGCTTTGTCTATTTTGAACTTTAAATTATGTTTTTCTAATTATTGCGTTCCAGAGCATGTCTGCAGTTTTGTTTTACTGGCTTGTTACAAGAGGAGTTGCACCGAGTTGCAAGACACTGGAACACACACAGGATAAGACCATATCCTAACCAAGAGAGCCATCCTGGAAAACCTGACGTTTTGTTCTTTATCCCAGAACTTAAAGGCAAGTAACTCGTCTTTAAACTTAAATAGTTTCACACTTATATGACCGCGTTACATGTTTCTGTCGCACCTGAATGAAAGCGGTTACCGATTGCATCTGAGAGCTGCGTGTTCTTAAATTATTAGATGATGATGATGATGATGATGACGATGATGATGATGATGATGTTTTTCAGGCACCACTGATTTCAAGACTCCTGTAGATTTGGATGACCTGGAAGTAGCAGAAAGAAACTTCTGTAAAAAGCGAGATGTCTTTGGATGCCGGAGCGAGTTTTCCGATGTTTTGCAAATGCTCATGTCCGACCATTCTTTGACAATGCCAAGAGATGCAGAAGAAGGGAAGATCTTGTTTACCACACTATATTATCTTTTGCAAGCAATCGTTTAGCCTTTGCTTTTTGTTAAAACAACACAAGCGAAACAGTGTGAAACATGTACAGAAATAGATCAGTGAATGAAACCATAAAAAATCGTCTCATTCGTTTGCCTAGAGAAAAAAAGCACAGTCTATTTAAAAACTGATGTCGGTAAACCCCAGAAGTTGATATTTCGTTTGGCGTGCAGATCGTGCAGATCCATTGTTTTTTTTTCCCAGAGTCTCCCCGGCGACCATCCGCTGACACCGAGCCGAAGAGACTCTGGACTTGGGATTGACTGAGGGCTTTCTATTCAACCTCGTTCCCAGTTTTTCCCTTTTTCAAAGGAGAGAAAAGCCCTGGGAAGGAGGTTGCTTTCTATTCAATGTACAATTGATTCGCTGTGCCTTAACAGAACAAAATTCCTAGGGAGGGGTGCATTTACTCCACCCGTCCCCCCTGAGGATATAAGTTAGCATGCACATAACACCGTCGTTGAGGGCGCACTCTTGTCAGGCCATGCGTCGCGTGCGATGAAGAAAGGCAAAACTAAAACTCTTTTGCGGGTTGTTTATCTAGCTTTCTTTTTTTATCCCTTTTTTCGCCCTATGTTGTTAAACCTTTTTCGAAGATATTTTGAAATTTTCGTTATTCTTCCAAGTTTGTTTAACGTGATAAAAGTTACGCAACTTGTTTTCGCTTTTTTGAGAGTTGCTCGCGCCCGTTTTTAATCCGAGAGCAATATTTACGTCGTTACGCGCGCTACTGGGTCTCTAAAAAACTTTAGTAATTATTAACAACCTTAAGTCCAGAATAGGATATACAAATAAGAGACGTTTGGTCTAGAATAGGGCTACAAAATGAAGCTTATTGGGTCTGGTATGGGTAAAGGGTATCAAAGTCCCAGCGGCACACCCCTAGCCAAAAATATTCTGGGCCTACCCCCGGGAGGAGGGAGAGTGGGCCATAAATAAAACAAACCCAAATGCACACCTGACGTCCACTGTGTTGGAAGTTTCTCGTACGGAAAATATTAATACCGTAAGTGGCATTAATATCTACATTTTGCCGACAATTATCCATTACCGAACCAAGAAAAGGCAACTCAGGGAAAGGTAACACAACATTTTATTTAAGGTCTTAACAATGCGTTCTAGGAAATGTTAACGAAGAATTTCCATACAATCAGTGAAGAATAAGCAGTAATCTCTGCTCTGAAGTTAACGGAAGCAGTGTCAAAGGAGAATAACGAATAGATAGCTTGATTATGCAGAAAGTGATTCACGTGAACGAAATCATCTGACAACCTCAATGTTTTATGTACCATACCTCATTGCCAACGGGGCAATGAGTCGTGAAGTTGGTGTGCGTAGACACACCAAAAAGTAAGAAATCCTTCACAAATGATTATTTAGCTAGCAAAATTCACACATTGAACATTATCATGCAGAATTAATTGGTGAACAACTGATCTAAATATCTAAAACACAACAAAGTTCATCTCACAGAGTCACAGTTGCAAACATCCGCTGAAAAACTAACCAAACAAAACAACACCACAAAACACCCAGCAGTTTTTCTCACTTCTTGCAAATGTATGTATTCAAAAACGGAACTATTTGCAATCCGAAATGTTCATCTCCCACTGTTAGTCACATTAATTTATATCCTGTGCCACTGTTAAATGCACCTTTGACAAACGGTGACTGGTACTTTTTCCTGCCGACTTTGCGTCTCTTTCAGTCTTCAAGATCCCAAAGCGATGGATTCTTAATAAAGAAATCCAGATTTTCTCTCAGTCGGTGGTACGTTTGGTAGTTTCGCGGTAGAGTAAGTACCTGAAAACATGTACGGGCCGTCGGTCTTGTTGCCAGGACAGCCATGTCTTCAAAGCGAACCTTGATTTTTCTTCCTGGCAACACCATGTCGTTCCCTGTAGAAAATCGTAGAAATAGGGCCAACGTGATGGAGTCCGCTTCTTTCAGATACCGTCGTAACCATCTTTCAACCTTTGCTTCTTTTCGGACTTAGTGGCACGATGTGGAGAATTTTGACGACCCGAGTGGGCGAAGGGGTGCAGAGCTCGTAGATAGAATCTATTTCCTCTTCGGTTACGGTGTCCCAGAAATTACCCATTCCTTCTCTGATTTTCAAGAGCGGCAAAAACAGTTTGGTGACAAACTCGGAAGTTCCAATCTTGACAAGGGTTTCCTGTAAGTTGGATGCTGTTGGCGGGGTTCTTTGATGGTATTCGTCAAAAATATCCATTACTTCATCTTGAACAGACGATAACGCTATCTTGCCCTCGAGAACATCAGACAGCAGTTTCATTTCTACAGGCGGCAGTAGGCGAAGGAATGATTCTAGGATGATCTCATCGGACACCTCTTTAAAAAGCGCCTGATACATTGACGCCTTTACTAATTTTACGGGGAATGTTCCACACTGAATAAACATGTGAGTTATGAGGCGTCCGAGTGCGACGAAGTCTTCCTCCAAAAGATTAGGCGAAACGCAAAGGGTGTACTGATTACTGCCCTCGCAATATTGTGAGAAGAACGATTCCCAAAAAAGGGAATAGAGTTCTCGTAGAAGCCCATCACCATTTGCCTGTTCACCTTCGAAGGAGACCACTAACTTTTTGCTTGAAATTGCTTCGTCTTCACGGTACATCTCGAGGAGCTGTTTAACAACATTGTTTTTATCCACAGTTATGTGGTACCTTTGTAACTCTTCTTCCCCTCTTCGGGCTTGTAAGGTGTGGAAATGTGCTTCGACTTCCACGCTTTCGTCTCCCTCCATGAATACCTCTGGCAAATCAGGTTCAACCCGCGCCACTTGGTAAGTCTGGTCGTTTACTTCGGCCAAACTATGTTCATCTCCTTGGTCAGCTTTGTCAGACTCCTGGAATTGGTCTCCAGTATTATTTAAATTTCCATGAGTAACATTGGTATCTTCGGTTTCGTCTGTTAAGGTGTCCCCCAGCGTTTCATCACCCAGATGGTATCCGTGGAACGCAACTTCGCCGTCATCTTCGATTAAGGGTAACGGATCGTCTTCCACAGTCATGGTAAGAAGGTGCGAATGGCTGATCTGCACACCTTCAGCAGGAGATATTGGCACTTTAGGCTCCTTTGAGAGGGAGAAGTACTTAGGAGTGCAGCTCAGTGACCCTATCCAGTCGTACACATTCCACATCGCTGCATCAACTGGGAAGCGTCTGGTAACTATACCAAGGCTGGTGTGTCTGACTCTAACAAGTAGAAAACTTCCGTCTTCTTCCGCCTCTGGTAAGACTCGCTTTGAACGTGATCGCCGCAACCTTTCTAACTGGGCTCCTTCTTCTTGTGCTCTAACGATCTCTTTGTTAATTGCATCTTTCGCTTGGTCTTGCTTAAGTGAAGCGGCTACTTCCAGAGCAAGCTTATTACGATACTCTTCTCTCTCTTTCGATGTGCCAATGAGCTGCGACGAGCCATTTCCACCCTCAGAAGCATCACGCGAAGGTATCATAGCGCGAAGCAAATCTTTTTCATCGCCAGAGTCGTATGGCAGCTTTTCTTTGGACAACAGGTACAATCGAGGCTTGGTAAAGCCGGTCGCTGCCTTGTATCGCTCGGCAGTAAAAGGGAGCAACTCGCCATCGACCCTAACGTCAGTAACACCACAACCATTAAAATCACCAAGGGACAAATCCATTTCATCCTGCGATCCTTCGGGACTGACACCCAGTGGAAAGAATAATTCTTTTGCTATTCCCAAGCACTCGTCGGCACTTGCAACCTTAGGTATGTCTACAACCCTGGTTCCGCCTCCGCTTCCCTTTTTCTTTTGTCTAAATGTTTCAGTTCTTGTACACCAGTGCTTCCAACCAAATTCGAATTTAACAGCTGTTTTGGCCATTTTCTTTTCCTTTTTCTCGAACGATTCGCGCCCGTGACTCCTTTTGAGGCCCTTTGATGGCCAAGCATGCTTTTCAGCTTGTCAACGGCGTCTTGTCGCTTCTTCTGTTCGACTGTTGTTTTCGACTTTCTTTCACAAAATGCTCGAATACGTAGTCGGTCGCCCATTGCCTTGACACCTAATTCTTCTAGCTGCTTATCTGACATCATTAAGACTGATGATTTATCAATCTGAAGTACAAAAAAAAATATAATAAGACAGGTTTTATTATTTTTATTTTAAAAGCTGTATTGGGTATTTCAAATAAAATAGCTATCCGAAAAGGGCCTGTGCTAACGGGACACCTTACCCGTGCGAGGTACCGCCCGTGAGAAAGAGAAAGAAAAAAGCAAAACTCTAAAACATGGAGGATATGTTATAAAACCGCTAGTAAGTTACCTTGAAGTTTTTTGGCACTTTTCATACAATTAAAAGGTACCTTTTTCGCGTTTTTGTTTATAACCTATCCTACCTCGAAAAAGGTACATGTACCTTTTTATTGTTATAGGAACACTGCTGGCAAGATATACACTGCAAAGATGGATATTTTCATCGTAGCAGTATTTTCACGCGGACACAGCGAGCGAGCCTCGCAAATAAAGGTGAATATAAATAAACCGCTTTCAGTTAGTAAATGTGTTGTGAGTGATTTACTATGTTCACATCGCACATAGTGCTTTATAGGTAAACTTCCTAAAATCAAAGTAAATCAAAAAATACCGTCATAATGCCGGTGAATTATTTTGTTACTGGTTGTGGACCATATTCCAGTGATTTTGAGTTGATGTTGTCCAAACATAACAACTAGGGGGGTCCAGGGCATGCTCCCCGGAGAAAATTTGATTTCCAGCACCTCAGAAACACTATTTTTAAAGTATTCTGGAAAACATTTGCTGTCTTCACTTCGCTGTACAATTCTTAAACATTTTACCTTGGAGATCAACAGTTTCCTTCTGCAAGAATGATTTTTTTCCGTCAGTTTCGGTTTGCATGAATTTTTTTTCGGGCATTTTGGCTTGCATGATTTTTTTTTGTATTTTCCCCATCCCCCACCCATCAATTTTCTAATGGTCCGTCCTTAGGGAAAGATCATTTAATATGACAAGGGGGGGGATGAAGATATTGAGGGGGCTCGAAAATTTTTAGACACCCGAAGGGGGCTCTGAAAAAAAATTGTTGTGCTAGGAGGGGGCTCCGAAAATTTGTATACTTCAAAACCAACACATGACATCATCAGACAGATCGGATGGTTTTCAACTCAACAATTTAATGACCTGTGCAACTCAGCTATATCACGTGGTTTACAGATATAACAAAATAATGTAGTCTCAGTAATTATTACACTCTTGTTCATCCCAAAAATGCTTTAGAAAATTGTATCATAACTGTATCTCAAGTTTGTGATAGTATAAACCATTGAAGACAATAACGTAAATATATTTAATCGGTCAGTGTAAAACGTAGACTGCGGACTGCGGACCAGGGGTAAAATGCAGACTGAGTGTAAAATGGAGACTGCAGACTGAGAGTAAAACGCAAACTGGGATAAAATGCAGAATAAAGACTGTAGACTTTTTTTAAACATTTGTGCTCCTTCTTCTCCAAATCTGTGAAATAGCTAGCCGGTATCAGTTAAACACTTCACTTCCCAGTCGAAGTGCATTGCACATTCCCTAGAAGTTTCTATGAACATCCGAACAGCTTAAGTCTGTGTACCTTGATTTGCAATACTTTCATAAAAGGTCATCAAAATTTCTTGCAGAACATCTTTCTTTGTTGTTGGAATGATTTACTCCCTTTTTTATCGCCATAATTCTTCCTGTACAGTATTTTGGTTCAGCAGCTTTCATTTAAGCGTAAACATCGTGGTGTTGTACTAATTCACGGTCCCTGGTCACTTGTATCGAAAACTTCGCGTCTAAAGTTGAAGCGTAAGGTCTCTCGGACGAAAAAAAAAAGCTTCAAGATTGCGATTATGTTTTTGGGTCGTCGACGACGTTCTAGAGAAGAAAGTCCTGAATGGATTTGTGCAAGCAGATGTCGTCAAGTAAGTGTTCCTTTAATACATGTATTTGCGGGATTTTTTGCCCTTAAACCCTTCTACGACTACAGTTTATGCTCGGTCTGCATTTTACCCCAGGTCCGCAGTCTGCAGTCCGCAGTCTGCGTTTTACACTGACTGTATATTTAATACAGTCTAGCTATCTTTTTTCAGGGGAGCAAAGGAATTGAAGGAGGAATTGGGGGCTCTGAAATTTTTTTGACTACCAAGGAGGGGGCTCTAAAAATTGAACTGCTAGCGAGGGGGCTGCTAAAATTTCAAGCTTCGAGTTTCAATATCTTCATCCCCCCCTTGTCATATTAAATGAACTTTCCCTTATAGTCAACTATTACGCTGTTATATTTTAGTCAAATGAATATTTAGTTGCTAACCGAACCACCTACTCGTCTTTACTGACCACTAGCTGGAGTTGCTTCACGGTACTCCCGAGTTCAACTCCTCGGCCACGCTTGTAAAAAGCCAGCTGGTTTGCCTCCTGCCAGTTGGGGTTTTTAACCTTGTTATGTTTAATTTACGACTATTTGTTTCTAATATTTGCTCGGCCCCACTAGCCTTTGTGCTATAAACACTGCCGAGGGTAAATAAAGGATATTTATTTATTTATTTACAAACATGTAATCGCAATGTGCCCACGGGCAATTACAGATTAATTTCACTTGTATTTTCAAAGTTTTCCAGATCGCACTCGTTACTTATTAAAACTTTGAAAATAGCGTGAAGTTAATACTTAATCCCATGCGATAACATATACCAATGCTCAATTTTTCTGCTCAGCCGCTGCACTTTCAAGTTACGAAAAGCAGAATTGCCAGAACGTTTCACTGATGTTTTACGCCATTAAACATACGAAAAGCAGAATTGCCAGAACGTTTCACTGATGTTTTACGCCATTAAACATACGAAAAGCAGAATTGCCAGAACGTTTCACTGATGTTTTACGCCATTAAACATACCTTTTCAAGAAGAAACCGATCGGTAACTGTGCTGTCTTGTCCACTATCCTTCATGAACTGAATATAAAAAAGAGGTAAACATGTGCGCACACTCAGATTACGATGGAAGAAGCTTCACCGGCGTTTAGCCGGAAAAATTTATCGCTCTTTTATTCTTCTGATTTTGTAGCAATTTGTCCGTTCATTTATTTCAGAAAAAAAAAACATTACAAATCAGAATAGTATGCCATACATTACCTCTGACACCTCTTCGTCCGCGGCCATGCTTTTGCTGCGAGATGACGTGTGAGATGGCGTGACAATTACGCAATACTCTATCTCGCATTTTTTTTATCTCGCATTTTTTATCTCGCATTTTTTTATCTCGCATTTTTATCTCGCATTTTTTTTATCTCGCATTTTTATCTCGCATTTTTTATCTCGCATTTTTTTATCTCGCATTTTTTATCTCGCATTTTTTTATCTCGCATTTTTTTATCTCGCATTTTTATCTCGCATTTTTATCTCGTATTTTTTTATCTCGTATTTTTATCTCGCATTTTTTATCTCGCATTTTTTTATCTCGCATTTTTTTTTTATCTCGCATTTTTATCTCGCATTTTTTTTATCTCGCATTTTTATCTCGCATTTTTTTATCTCATTTTTTTTTTCTCGCATTTTTTTCTCGCATTTTTTTATCTCGCATTTTTATCTCGCATTTTTTATCTCGCATTTTTATCTCGCATTTTTATCTCGCATTTTTTTTATCTCGCATTTTTATCTCGCATTTTTTTATCTCGCATTTTTATCTCGCATTTTTATCTCGCATTTTTTTATCTCGCATTTTTATCTCGCATTTTTATCTCGCATCTCGCATTTTTATCTCGCATCTCGAATGTCCCTTACAGGCTTCCGTACAAAAAGGTTTCTTTTGTCTCTTCAAAGTAATTAACCATTATTTCTAGTCTTATGTTGACCAAATCTAAATAGAGAAAAAATGGCATTTTTTGACGAAAAGCATAGGCTAACCCCTTTGGAAAAGCGGACTTTTTGGGCTTTGAAAAATTCTGTTTTTTTAGGGCCAAAAAAGTTTTCTTTTTTCCCTGCAAAGTCAGAAAGTATTATTTCTAGTCTTATTTTGATCAAATCTATATAAAGAAAAAAAATGGCATTTTTTGGCCAAAAGTGAAAAAGTGCGGTTTTGAGGAGTTTAAAAAATTCATTTTTGTAAGGTCAAAAAAGGTTTCTTTTTTCTCTGCAAAGTTAGAAAGCATTATTTCTAGACTTATTTTGATGAAATTCAAATTAAGAAAAAAATGGCATTTTTAGCCCAAAAGCATGGGTTAACCCCTTTGAAAAAATGCGATCTTTTAGACTTCGAAAAACGCTGTTTTTTATAGTCAAAACGGTTTCTTTTGTCTCTTCAATGTAACTTAAGCATTATTTCTACTCTTATTTTGACCAAATCTGAATAGATTAAAAAAAATGGCATTTTTTGACCAAAAGCATGGGTTAACCCCTTTGAAAAAGTGCGTTTTTTGAACTTTGAAAAATTCTGTTTTTTATAGTCAAAAAGGTTTCTTTTGTCTCTTCAAAGTCATTAACCATTATTTCTAGTCTTATGTTGACCAAATCTAAATAGAGAGAAAATGGCATTTTTTGACGAAAAGCATAGGTTAACCCCTTTGGAAAAGCGGACTTTTTGGGCTTTGAAAAATTCTGTTTTTTAGGGCAAAAAATTTTTTTTTCTCTGCAATGTCTGAAAGCATTATTTCTAGGCTTAGATTGATCAAATTTAAATAAAGAAAAAATTGGCATTTTTTGGCCAGAAGCAGGGGGTTAACCCCTTTGAAAAAAAAATGCAATTTTTTTGGACTTTGACAAATTCAGTTTTTATAGTCAAAAAAGGTTTCTTTTTTCATTGCAAACTAAGAAAGCATTATTTTTAGTCTTATTTGATTAAATTTAAATAAAGAAAAAATTGGCATTTTTTGGCCAAAAGCATAAGTTAACCCCTTTGGAAAAAATGCGATTTTTTGGACTTTCAAGAATTCTGTTTTTCAAAGTCAAAAAGGTTTCTTTTTACTGTGCAAAGTCACTAAGCATTACTTCTAGTCTTATTTTGACCAAATCTAAATAAACCTAATAACTGGCATTTTTCGTCCAACACCATCGG